GAGTGATTAAATGATATATAGCTTTTAAGTAGATGTATTGGTTTTTAATTAATCTTAATTAATTTTATTGCCTTATTTGAGTTAAAGTAGGTATATATTGTTAGTATTATATTTGTTTAGTTAAATTGTAAGTTAGATTTGGAATGATTTGTTTTAGTCCTGTATATGATTCCGGGAAGTTCAGGGGGGGAAGGGGGTTTAGAAGTATTAAAATAAAAATTGATGTACTTATATGTTATAATTGTATTGAAAAGAGGAAGCGCTCGGTTGGTATCCCGGCTTGCACTCGAGGAGGTAGTCAGAAAGAGGGGATGTAGAAGGGGAAGGAGGAAGGAGGAGTGGTTGTGGGTTAGAGGTAGGAAGGAAAGGCAAGTGGATGAGGGCGGAGGCAGGTCGGGAACTGCTGAGCGTTTCTGATAATGTATTGATTTGGATTGTTTTTCTTTGTGTATGTTTGTATTATAAATGCATCATATTACTTATTGTTTAACTATAAAAATTAATAAAATTTTCTTATAAAAAAAAAAGATAGTTGCCTGCAAGTTAGTATTAGGTAACTATGCTAATACTATAAATTGTATATATAATAGTATAAATGTGCTGATTAGTATGCAATAAAATTTACTGTCTTTTCCTTCCTTCCTTCCTTCCTTCCTTCCTTCCTTCCTTCCTTCCTTCCTTCCTTCCTTCCTTCCTCCCTCCCTCCCTCCCTCCCTCCCTCCCTCTTTCCTTTCCTTTCCTTTCCTTTCCTTTCCTTTCCTTTCCTTTCCTTTCCTTTCCTTTCCTATCTATGTACCTAAAAACCATTTTGTACATCTGTACAAAAGTAAGTTTAAGGGAGTTCAATAAGACATAAACTCAGGAAAATACATAATTATGTTCTGTAAAAATGTTTCATTGAAGAGAGATAATACCACAAGACACTTTTTCTTCATCACTCCCCTCCAACAGGTGGTAAGTGATCAAAAGAGAAGGAAAAAATTGTGACATCCTGGAAATCCTCTCCACTGTCCTGAATTTTGCCTTCCATTATGGAAGGGTTCATATTGCAATTATTAGGCTTAAATTAACGTGAAATAGTTTAGATGCCAACATTTAGCTGAAAATGGGAACAGAATAATATAAATAATTAAATACAAATAAACCGCTAAACCCTTTATTGTGTTTTGAAGGTTACTGAAAGGTAAACCATTATGATTTAATATTATGATGGGTAAAACTGTATTTTAAGAGCTCTTAAATCCATCAGTAATATTTTAAGTAGCTTACTAGATGCTTTAATTCTTAGTAGCTCCGATGGTGTACTTGGTTCCCCAATTCCAACAAGATTAGCAGGTACAAATTGAAACTCATATTCCACCCAGGAATTTAGATCAACCACCGTGGCTGTGTGGGTCTTTCCATTAATGACTTCAGGAACTTATGAAAAACCAAAAATAAAAGGGTTAGAGACAGACAGTTTCTGAAAACAGCATAGAATGTAAATCAGAAATGTGTACCTGTTGAAACTGCTTGCCATCCAACTGTCTGAACTGTGTATGTGTGGACAGGATTGTTGTTTTCTGCTCTGGATTTCCAATTTAGCACTGCTGTTGTATTAGATATGTATTCAATAGTAACCTCTTTTGGTGGGCCAGGAATGCCTTATTAAAACAAAATGTCCATGTTATTTTAGCAGAATTGTTTGAAATTCGGTTGTAGTTTAGTGTTTAGCACTAATGCACCTGATTAAAGGGGATTGTTTGAAATAAACATGGGAAATTCCCTAAGGGCTGAAACATCTTACATGAGTACCTACATAAAGTAGATTTGATTCTTTTAAATCCAAGCTTAGAATCTTCTTGATACTGAGGAAAAGCAATACTTGGCATATCTGAAAAAGAAGTCATGCTGACTAGGAGACGTAGTTCAACAGTCTGCTTTGCTAGCAGTTCTCCATCCTTCTCAAAACAATGCCATCTAAGATACACAAAGGGCTTTTCTCTCCACTTCTTAGGCAATCACACAAAATGATTCCCTTCTGTCTCTAGCCACAAAGTCCCTCCACTGGTCTGGGGACTGAAAGCAACACACCAGTGTTTCATGACCTTGTCAACTTTAAGCTGTGTGGATTTCAATTCCCAGTTTTCCCCAGACAACAATGGATTTTATAAATGAAATAAGCACTAAAACGCAAACTTTCATTTCTATTTCTTTCTGCTATTTCCAGCAGAACCAACTATTATCATATCTGCTAGAATACATGGTATCCTGTAGCTCCCTATCTTTTAATTGCTGTCTACAGGATATGTAAATTATTTTCAACCTACAGTAGGAACATGCCAAATTAAGTTTCCAAGATTTATATTTGCCACACAGCCACTATCAATTATACTTATGTTCTTACCTTTTTCTTCACTGCTACCCCTGGGAGTGGCTTTCTTTCCCAATCATATCTAAACAATTATATCTAAGCCAAATAAAATTTCAGTTTCCCTTTCCATTGCAGTCTTCATTATATGATTCAAGATTATATAGTTCTTGGCTCTAATTTTTATAGGTCAGCCTTTAGGGCAACATATATTCTCAATATAAAAGAGTCAATTGCCTATAAAGCAATTTTTAGTTTCAAGGGAATACATAACAGTAGGACATATATCTGAGCTATAGTTCATTAGTTATGCATATTTAATTTAACCAGCTCCCCTAAAATTTCGTGGTAGCATGCACGTCTATATAATTAGCTTAATTTTTAGAGTTTATGGACTTACCCTTACAATTATTTCTGGTGATGCTGATAGAGCGTCCATCAATGTTTGCACAATGCATGTATATTTTCCAGCATGATTTAGCTGAATATTTCTTATCATAAGATCCCCTACAGAATCCTTAGATAAAAAGAACAATTAATCAAACAGGATGTATTTCCCATAATGTATATTTTTGCAACTTGTTAAATATTAATAAAGATGCAGTTTTAAAATTGAATTATACATTAGTGTCATTCATTTTTTTTCATTCAGATACTTTTATTATAACTCCCACAAATAATGCCAACAATGAAAGCAAAAACTAAATGAATGTAAAGCAATAAGGCTTCCATTAAGTAGATTTTTGGAAACAGATTCCAAACTAAATCTTATGACTTAGAAGAAACATGCCCATGCAATGTATTTGGGGGACTTGGGACAAGTTATAAGTACACATCTAGTTTAATAAGATTTATCAAGCATTTTTAGACAGAGGTCCTCCATTCGTTCTAATTGTGGGACTGAGACAGCTCCTCTTTAGTTGTAGAAAAGAAAACGGTGTTGCTTAGATTGAATATTTCATTGATTACTGCAGTCACTGAGAGCCTCTGTGTTGGAAATCTCTAAAATCTCTACATTTAGGCAAGAAAAACCAAATGCACAGGTGTAGTATAGGTAGTACTTTGCTCAATAGTAGTAACTGTGAAAGGGATCTCACAGTTTAGTGGACAATCCCTTAAATATGAGCCAGCAGTGTGCTGCAGCTGCCAAAAAAGCCAACACAATGCTAGGCTGCATTAACAGAGGGATAGAATCAAAATCACATGAAGTGTTAATACCACTTTACAATGCCTTGGTAAGGCCACACTTGAAATACTGCATCCAGTTTTGGTCACCACGATGTAAAAAAGATGTTGAGACTCTAGAAAGAGTACAGAGAAGAGCAACAAAGATTATTAGGGGACTGGAGGCTAAAACATATAAGGAACAGTTGCTGGAATTGGGTATGTCTAGTTTAACGAAGAGAAGGATGAGAGGGGACATGATAGCAGTGTTCCAATATCTCAGGGATTGCCACAAAGAAGAGGGAGTCAAGCTATTCTCCAAAGCACCTGAAGGCAGAGCAACAGATAGAAACTAATCAAGGAGAGAAGCAACCTAGAACTAAGGAGAAATTTCCTGACAGTCAGAACAATTAATCAGTGGAACAACCTGCCTCCAGAAGCGGTGAATGCTCCAACACTGGAAGTTTTAAAGAAGAGACTGGACAACCATTTGTCTGAAATGGTATAGGGTTTCCTGCCTTCCAACTCTGTTATTGTTGTTGTTATTATATCAGCAGAAATTTGCATCCATTTTTATAGATATGATCTCAGCTGTACATTTGGAGGCAATGAGTTCCTTAAAAGAAGTCATAACAGATCTGTTTGAATAACAACTCCCTTGTTATAAGCAGTTTTAGTATGTATATTGGTGAAAGCATTATGCAGTCATGGTAATTCATATGCATAAATTATACTAGGAAGCCTAGATACAGTGATAAATACTACACCAAATATGTAGATTGGTAGGAAAACAAAAAGGATGTTGTAACATAACAATATAATGGCCATCAAGCTGGACAATAGTATAAATAGAGGACTCCAGTGTTTCCGACTTGCAAAGCTTTGAAAATGTCTGTTGAAAAATGTATTTATTCAGAATTCAACCAGTACTTATTTAGGGAAGCTAGTTAAAAGAAACATGATGTTTTTTCCCCTCTTCAGGTAGAGGGAAAAATCTGATTTTGGAAATGAATTGATACTTTGAATCAGGCATAAAATTCTCCTGAGATAGTGGATAAGTATCCTTTTGCCCACTCTGACTGGCCCTAAATGCAACAGGGAAAATAAAAAAAAATGTCTATCTCTACTTGCTTGTGTGACCCAAAGTTCAGCTGAAGAGACTATTTAGGTTGAAACCAGTTCTATGAAAGCAAGTAACATGCACTTTAAAAAAAAATGTATCTAGCTTCTCTGTCTCTTTCTTTCTCCGTGTATCAGAGTTTCATCTCATGAAGATTAAGGGTTAATCTTTCAGATCACAATCCTGCTTTATCTCTTTTTACCTCTTTAACTGCCCAGGGTGATAGACAGGTTAGGCTGCATGATCTGAATCTGAATTTCCAGCCAAGTGAACCTGCCACTTGCTTAAGCATAGCCTCTAAGATGCTGGGGAAAGGCCTACAATTAACATTTTATGTATCTTTCATTGTAAAGAAAAGGGATCTGGAAAACAGAATCCAGAAAATGCCACACACTGTTATTTTATTTTGTTCTACTATACTATGTTAAGCAGTTCAAACATGCATCCCATGAAATATGCATTCTTGCAGTCTTAGAAGAATAAAAGCCATCTATCTCAAAGAAGTCTAAAGTCTCTCTGGATATATCAGTCTAACCTGATCACATCAATTTCAATGAGCAATGCTGAAATGATCGCTTCATTTGACTCAAGCTGTTGTTTCTTATGAGTCTTTCTTTAAAACTTCCCTTTTCTCATTAGCGATCCGCTTTGTTTGCTATCTATAGGAATGTATCATGGAGCAGAACCTGTTTCCCCAAAAAATAAAAATAAAACAAAAATAGACAAAATACTCAGTGCACCTGAAATATAATAGAGATTTCTATCACCAAGGATAAACAGCCAAATGAGCAGTAGTAAATATTAGATTTGTTTATTAGATCCTGGCATTTCAGTTGAATACAATAAAGAAGCAATGAGGCCTGTAGCTAAGCAGCCCAACCTTCTCCAGAAAAGAACCCAAACAAATGTTCTTTGAAAATACTGTAATTGTGATATGTTATTATTTTCATTTTTAATAAAAACTTCAATTGTCAAATTAAGGCTTTCTTTACATTTTTTTTTTAAAAATGTAGTTGAAACGCCATACATAGTTAGGATCCATCTCTACTGTGTGCATAATGCTATTTACATTTAATGCTGATTGAAATCTAACCAGTTCCCTTTAGGTCATATGTAGTATCTATTTTAAACATAAATCATTGTCATTATCATCACTTTTTTATAAAATTAAAATGCCAAATCTCTCTTTGAAGTTCTCACAAATTATCCACATGATTTGCAAGTATTTCAGTTTATCTATGCTATTTGGTATAAAAAAAGATCTGCTAGCATTTGTGTACTGAGTGTGTGTGAGTGTACTATACTCTATGTATCTCTTAATTTATGAGATAGAAGCTACAACAGAGCTTCCCAGATTGCATGCTAGATGAGAGATCCTAGCTGGGATAGAATAATGTAAGTTTGCCTAGGGTAGAAATGAGCTTATTGTTGTGTTATACTAGTTAAAATGTGCCAAAAAACTGATCAGTATTGTGTCCTTGGTGTTATCAGGGAAATGCTAAATGTTTGCCAAAGGAAGCATACCTGGCTACTTAGAAGAACATACTTCGGTCCATGTGGTTATATGTCAGAAGAAATATAAGCATAATTTCAATGCAGTGGGAATAGTTACCTAAGAAGTGTCTGCAAGAATACAGGAAAAAAAAATAGGTTTAAGAGTGAATGGGTGCTTAAGGAATATGAATTGAATTCAGGCATGAGTGAGCAGTATGAGGATAGTATATTTCAGAAGTTTGGCCATATAAATAGAAAAAGTATCAACCACAAAACAAATATAAGGAAGAATAAATGGATTGAATTGGATGGGGAAGACTAAGGAAGTTATGGTTGTGTGGAGTTGATGAAAGTCCTCGAGTCCTGAAAGAAAGGAGTGAATAGTTTTTAAAAATCAAATTGCTTTGTATGAAGGAGTGTATGGCTATTATGCAAGCAAGAATGCTTTGCAAGGATAGAAAAGTATAAGCAGTAGTGCATGTGTAAATTAGGTTTAGCTACATTTTCTTTTTCTTGTGCCATCCTTCTATTGCTTACTTCAAGAAGGAATAGCCTAAAGGGAATGCATGTACATATGTGCACCAACTCTTTGTGTTATTTGTTGTGATCAAATGCATGACTTGGTTGTTTCAATTCAACTTAATTCACTACAGAATTTCAAACATGCAGTAAAGAAAGTCTGGTGAGCAGAGGCTTCATTTCAACCACAACAAGTTTGTACAGATTGAGAAAGGTAGGTGGGTTGGAATGGAAACAGGCAAACCAGCGACATTTCAAGAAAACTATACAATAAAGAAAGGTATACAGTGATAATTATATTGTTAACTTATAAAGTAAAATAGAAAATTATTTTTTTCATTTTTAGGAAAAGATATTGCTTTAATATTTTGAATAAAAAGTTAACTTTTTCTAAGAGGAAGAGTTTATTACACTATAAGACAAGGCATCTGAGATATATGTATTATCCTTTTATTTATTAGATTTGTATCACACTTCTCATTTAGTAACTCAAGGAGCATACATCCTGCTGTCTCCCAACAACAACCTGTGAGACAGATTGGGCTGAGATCTCATTCCCTTTTATTTATACCTGCAAGTGTCTGTATATAGTATGTATATGCATATATTCACACATAAACCTACACATGCTGAAAATAGTATAGTAATTAGATATGTAAGTTAAAAAATCATTAAAATGGGGCAAGGCACTTCTATAAGAATAAAAGACAAGCGTTGCTCTGACAGGAACAACAACAACATGATCTGGTTCATGGCTATTGTTTAAATGCAGATGATGTTATTTATGTTATTGCTAACTAGACTGTAGAACTTCTCCTATTTTAGGTATATTTGTTCTCTAACTGTTATGCTGCTTCCATAACAACCAATGAAAGTTAATACACTTGACTACTGAATTTATAAAATATGCTGAAAAGGAAAGGAAAGGAAAGGAAAGAAAGAAAGAAAGAAAGAAAGAAGGAAGAACTAGCTCAGGTTATACTTCAATATATTAACCACTATGTGCTGATCAGAATAAGCAAAAACTCAAATTTTAGTTGATTCTCATTTCACTGAGTGACTTTGGGAGAGTCATTTAGTCCTACCCATGCACAAGATTATTAGGGAAGAATAGGAGAACAAGCACCATGTATACTGCCTTGAGCTCCTGAATGTAAAGTGAAATATACTAATACATTAAATAAATAAGTGGTCTTCTGAATATCCACTAGAACATTCAC